CCCACTCATCTTTGCAGAATTGTTGTCATTGAGCCACATTGGAGGGTATGAGCATGGACCGCCTTTTTAAGGTCATGCCACAGCATCTTAATTACATTCAGTTCAGGACTTTGACTAGGCCACTCCAAAGTCTTCATATTGTTTGGGGGCATTAAGGAGACCTTTTTTACACCACTATAAGGTGTACCTAAATTCAGTCACTGGAATAAAAACTTGACTGCCTTTAAACAAACTAAAAGTCAATGTGAGTCAGAAGTTGCTACAATTTGTTTTACTTTGTTGCTTTACATCCAGCTGAAATAAACATAGTAAATTCTGATTTCACACATATTTTAATATGGTCTAATCTAATACAGATGTTAGGGCTCGGTGGTGTGACAAAAATATCATATCAGTATATAAATCATCTCATTTCCTGAAAATGAAATAACTAGATCATAATATAGTAATCAATATATAATCACAAATGTAATCAATATATATATATATATATATATAGTTTTAATACTGAAATTTTAGAAGCAGACTTAAAAACTGCTGATTTGCCATTGTGCTCACATGCTTTTCCCTCACTTTATTTAGAACTTTAGGACAGATGTATGATTGAGAACGTAGCCCAACATAAAATAGCACAAAATAAAATGCATAACATAAATATTGTACTTAAAACATAAATATGTTGCGTTACGTTTCCGTCTGGGGGAGTATAAGATTGCGCTCGTCCATATTATAAATTATGAAAAAAAAAAAAGAATATTACTGTAAACAATGTATGTTATGATACCATAAAATTAATGGTGCAGCACAAGATGATTGACTTAAAAAAATCCCTATATTGTCAAATTGCACAGCTTTAATAAATGTTTTTGCATTGTATTCATATTTAAAAATATGATAATATAATCAGAGCAGTAATTAACTTCTGTAAATACATCTGTAATTACACTGTTGACATGTTGACCTACTCATTATCCCACCAACAAGCCTAAGCATATACCATTAAACCCTTTCCTACACTCACATCACTTTCCCACCGCAGAAAGCATTCTGCAATACAACAAGACCACAATAAGTGCACAACAAACTTATGTAGGAGTGAAAAAAGTCTTGTGTGAACAAAACATACTTATCTTGTCACATGATGCATTACATAAGTTTCAGGATAAGAATCCAGATTCCAATCCAGTAATCCAGCATGTGCTGCACTACATTGCAGTCCATTATTTTAAATACATTAAATAGCAATTTAAACATGCTTAATAATTAATAATACACAATTGATATTTTATTTATATTAATAAATAATCCATATATATTATTACTATGTTTCATATATTAGCCTTTTTGCATTTCTTGGCATACATCTGAAAGATTTCTGCAGGTTTTATGAAGAGGAATTTAAGACTTTCGACCTTTTAAAGAAAAAGTAAACAACAGTCATGAATAATCTGAAGAAGACACAATAACTCAATATGTTATCTTCACCAGGCAAACTTTTAGGAAATGCTTTAAGTAGCTCTGCTGTACCTTTTGTGAAGTTTGACAGATTTTTTGTCCTAACTCAAAATACATTTAAAAACAAAATATATATTTATATAACTGATCTAAATCTTTATGTTTGAAACAAGTTAAGGATTGGATTAGGACTTTGATGTTACCTTGAATAATACTGATATTACATTTCTTGAGGCGTAGTGGGTAGCACAATCGCCTCACAGCAAGAAGGTAACTGGTTCAAGCCTCGGCTGGGTCAGTTGGCATTTTTGTGTGGAGTTTGCATGTTCTCACCATGTTTGCTTGGGTTTCCTCAGGGTGCTCCGGTCCCCCCCCCCAGTCCAAACACATGTGCTATAGGTGAATTGAATAATCTAAATTGGCCATAGTGTATGCGTGTGAATGCAGGAGTGTGTTGGTGTTTCCCAGTGTTGGGTTGCGGCTGGTGGGGCATCCTCAGCATAAAACATATGCTGGATAAGTTGGCGGTTCATTCTGCTGTGGCGACCCCCGATTAATAAAGGGACCAAGCCGAAAAGAACATTAATGAATAATATCATTTTCGAAACGAACTCACTGAAACATTTTTGACATATTTAGCAAAAATAAATAAATAAATAAATAAAATAAAATAAAATAAATGGTTTAAATGAAAAAAATAGCTTTCTTACCCCAGTGACATCACTTTTTAAATAAAACAAAAAGGATATATAATGTTAAATTTACATTTAAATTAAATGTCACTTTACCACTTAAATATTTGTATTGCAAAACAAAAATTGCAGCGCATTGGCCGCAATTAATGCCATAACTTTAGGAATTGGAGAGTTTTTTATAGCCTTAAATAGTGGAAGGCTTATTTAAGACTTTTATGAAAATTTTTTTTAAGGCTGCCAAACCCTATCCTACTTTTAGCTAACTTTTGCAGGATTTATTTTTTTTTTGCCTGACTTGACACTAGACGATGAATGCAGAATTATTGCGCATCGCAGACATGTTTCATGATTAATCATCAATTGCTTAAATTTGTAGCAATAGTAGACATTAAACACCATTTGTAATTGTTTAATTGTTTAATTGCCATTAAAAGTCGATTTTGGTAAAAGCTGGTTTTACATTTACACGTTCAAACTTTTACCTCAATAATACAATTTCAGGAAATATTCCATGCCAATTCTAAATAAGCATTTCATATTAACACCCAGTGACTAAAGAAATACAACATACTGTCAGTCAATTCAATAGTTTTAATGTTATTTCAAGGTCATACTTACTTAAGATTTCAGACTGAATATTCAAAGTAGCATGGTAAACAACTGTGTCACACTGTGCTCATAACAACATGTCATTTTAATGAATCTGTGTTAGCCTTTAAAAAACTTTGCTTTACTATTTTATTGAACGTCTGAATGTGCAAGTATGCTATATAACCAATTTCACCTCAATTCAAAGTTAGGTTTATTGCTGGAATAGTTCTAAAACATCACAAGTATCCTTTAAACAACCCACACATGTTTGGAGTCTAAAACATTTCAAAAAGTTCTGAGTCAGCAGTGTTTTATGCCATCTTACACGTCATTCAAGTTGGCAGCGAGGTACAGAACACGTTCTGAGTAAGCAAAAGCTACTGCGTTGTGATCCCTTGTGCATGCGATGCCCACAACTGATGTCTACTAGGTAGACAGCTCACTCTGTTTTGAGACGCACACACCATTTGAACGAACAACAAGCAGAGAAACGCATTGTGTAGCCTCGTTGGTGATATTATTGTATTAAATATGTAACTCACCAGCTTTGACAGCTCCATATATGGCGCGTCCGGTGTGTTTTTTGGCGTTTTGTACGTCTTTCCACGCGAGAATCGCGCAGTTTAATGTGACCTCATACAGTCTGCGCTGAACACTCAGCTCAGAACACAACAATGTCGACTGCTTCTCCATTTCTGCCCTTAACATCTAATGCGCACTAGTTATCTCACTTTCATCTTCAAAACTGGTTAATGCTATTTCACCCGACGCTTTAAATCATTAAGAAATAACTACAATAGCTACAACGCTGCTCGTTTTCTCATAAGCACTTTGGCTACATAGCGGTTTTCTCTTCCCTGATAAAGTAGGAGGAGTCCACCAGATATGCGTCACGCGTAATCCTATTGTAGGAAGTGTTTTTTTTGTGTGTACTGTCAACAATAATTGTTTATTAAGAAAAAAAAAAACAGAAACTGTTTATTAAAGAGTTTTATTTTTATTTTTTGAGAACTTCGACTATCCTACTAATTTCTCTTTTATTTATTTTATTTTATTTATTAGACTATACATTTTTATTTTGTGTTATTATTAGTTATGTATATAATGCATATTATGAATGTAAATTGATCAAAAATATTTATGCTTTTTTTCAAGCATTGACAATAATAAAATATATTATATTAGCCTATAATATGTTATATTATATTATATTATATTATATTATATTATATTATATTATATTATATTATATTATATTATATTGTATTATATTGTTATAATGTATTATACTGGCCTATATTATATTAGCCTATATTATATATTATATCATAATGTATTAAATTAGCCTGTATTATATTATATTATATTATATTATATTATATTATATTATATTATATTATATTAGGCTATATTATATTACATTATATTATATTATATTATATTATATTATATTATATTATATTATATTATATTATATTAGGCTATATTATATTATATTAGGCTATATTATATCATATTGTATAGTATTATATTAGTCTATGTTTTCCCAGAGATGGGTTGCAGCTGGAAGGGCATCCGCTGCGTAAAAACATATGCTGGATAAGTTGGCGGTTCATACACTGTGGCGACTCCAGATTAATAAGGAGACTAAGCTGAAAAGAAAATGAATGATATTATATTATATTATATTATATTATATTATATTATATTATATTATATTATATTATATTACAAGTGAACTGTCATAAAATATTAGGATGCTATAAATACAATATTTTAAACTTAACTTTCTTGATTTTTGTTATTTTACATTTGTTATATGGGGACCAATGTTTTATTTTATTATTATTATTGTTTTTATAACGTTTCTAATAAATACACCGGTAAAGAAATTAAATCGTAGGTTTGGGATTGGGAAGTGAATGATAACATATCCTAAAGAGCCATAATATAATAATGTAATTCATGTTATAATAGTGTTAATAAAAGTTTCTGTATAATAGTTGTCATATCATTTGTGTGGGTTGGTAACAAGCAAAACATATACATAATATCCATAACATTGTTACAAACATGTACTATTGTTATTCGTTACTCTTTAGAATCAGTTCAATTGTTTTGTTTCATTAATTGTATCGAATTCTCTTGCAGAAAATATCAACAACTCCTTTAAAAACGAAAGAAGATGTAGAGATTTCCACTGGTGATTGGCTGTTCAGCAGCCACTCATGAGTCCCTTTAACCAATCACTACTGCGTTTATGTGCGGTGGGCGGTACCAACATGGCGGCTCTCTGAGTTTGCGAAGAGAAATTGAGGTGTAAATAAACTCTTCGTGCACGACTTGCACAACTTATCAACCCCATTCTCTGAATTAATATATGAGCGAGTGCTCCGAACCCAAACGATGTCAAGTGACGGCAACAAAAAGCAGTTCTGGAAGAGAAACACAGCCAAGGTTCCTGGGAAGTGAGTGACGTGTTCATGCTAATGTCTCAGTGTTAGCTATGTGTGTGTATATATGTGCGTTTAAATACATATGGAATAAAATAAACAATCTCTTTCAACGCCAGATTTCATCAGAGGAGCTCTGGTTATTTGTGACGACACGTGTCACTCAAATTGGATTTATTTTAGGCATGTGATTGTGGGCTAGCTTCATGTTTGCATTGAAGTTAATGATGGACTAAGTTTGCATTGATCATAATTATATAGTTATTGTTATAACAATGATATATAAGGTCTGATCAGCGTTATATGGGGTTATGATATCTATTATCAAAACTCAGTGCTTATAGTCTATTTCATAAATCAGGTGTTAGCCTACTAGCTATATGATGCTAGGCCCTCTTTTGACAAGTCTTAAGATGCAGTTATGACAGTTTTATTATTATTTGTAAAATTTCTTACATTTATTTGTAAAGTCATTCCTTTGTGTTATTTGACATTTTATCATTTAGCTTTTGTCCAAACTGACATACAATTAAGGTGAAGAGGCAATACGAGTACTAATTTTACAAAGGAAATGTTAGTGCTCAAAGAATTAAGTTCAAGAGTAAGGAGGAGTGAGTTTTTGTATCAAAGGGAGAATAATGTTTCTAATTGAGGTAAAGTTGGTTTTATTTTTGCACATTTTTTTCATTGACAACTTGACACATTCCTTTTATTGTTTACCATGCTATGCTTTAAATATAGGGTCTAAAACCGCTTGCTAGTGCGACTTCAAACAACATCAGCACTATTTACCTGACTGCAAACAATATTGTACTTTATATTCACCTGCTGTTCATATGATTTCCCCATTTAGAATTTGCAGACATTTATTTCGGGAATTATATTAAGAAGGTAAACATCTGAATGTGCGAATATAAAACCAACTTTACCCCAATGTGTTTCTACAGGTGGTTTGTCAAGCACGTTCACCTGTGTGAGGTACACTTCATAAATGCAGAATGTAAATTGTTGGAAATGTTGTTTAAAGTGTAAGTGAATGAAGAGTGTGTTTTTTACAGGTGGTTTGTTAGACCATCTCACCTGTGTGTGGGACACTCAAAATTGCATAATGTTTTGAGGTTGTCATGTCAGACCAAATATTTAAAGTAGCATTATAAACCATACATGTACCATGTCACAAGCTGTACCGTTGTGCTCATAACAGTGTAATAATTAATTGTTGTCATTAGAATGAATCAGTATTAGCTTTTGTAAATTCTACTTTAGTAATTTAGTAAATGCCAAACTCTGAATGTGTGAATATAAAGCCAACTTTACCTCAGTTATTTACATGCAGTACTTGAGACCAATACAAAGTACTACTTTAAAAAGCAGTTCATAAAAGCAAAACTGTGTATTAATATAACATGCAGTGAATCAAACCAAAAAGTGTTCAGACATCTTTTACATTTCTCACATTATTACTGATTTGTTTACTGTCGATTAGAAAATGATAATAAAATTTGACGAGAAGTCAGAGTAAACCGTGTTAGAACAAATTTATCTTCATAATGTCCAGTAGGTTTATGATCAAAAGATAGTATTTGTAATGTGTTACAAATGTAAAGTTTAGGCAATTTTTAGAAAAATTGAACCGAAACAATAATAAAGTTGTCCCCCGAAAGACTCAAGATTTGTGTTGTTTCAGCTCATTTTATATAATTAGTTAGAGCAAAAAGCTAATGTATTTTTTGTGTACGATTACAATAAAAAAAAAATAATAATAATAATGGCAACAGTTTGTATGGCTGTATTTACTCAACTATTAATACTTTACTGTAGTCTCTGCTGCCAACCAGGAAAATTATGCTTCATGGAAACCAGAACTACAATATTTTCGGTTCCTGTTTTTTTTTTTTTTTGTTTTTTTTTATTTTTTTATTTTATTATTCTGCTGAAGTAACAAATAATTTCAGGGCATAGTATGTAGCAGGTTGTTTACATGTTAAAAATTTTATTTTTCGAAAGATTTTTAATATTTATACAGTTGAAGTCAGGTTTATTAGCCCCCCTGAATTATTAGCCCCCTGTTTATTTTTTCCCCAATGTCTGTTTAACCGAGAGATTTTCTAAACATAATAGTTTAATAAACTCATTTCTAATAACTGATTTATGTTATCTTTGCCATGATGACTGTAAATAATATTTGACTAGATATTTAACAAGACACTTCTATACAGCTTAAAGTGACATTTAATGGCTTAACTAAGTTAATTAGGTTAACTAGGCAGGTTAGGATAATTAGGCAAGTTATTGTGTAACAATTGTTTGTTTTGTAGACTATTGGATAAAAGAATAGCTTTAATGGGGCTAATAATTTTGACTTTAAAATGTTTTTATAAAATTTTAAAGCTGCTTTTATTCTAGCCAAAACAAAACAAGAAAGACTTTTTTACAGAAGAAAAAATATTATCAGACATACTGTGAAAAATGATTTGCTCTGTTAAACACCATTTAGGAAATATGAAAAAGTAAAACAATTCGAAGTGGGGCTAATAACTCTACCTAATATTTTTATAATTTATTTATATGTTTATTTCTTTCAAAGAAGCCCCTTCTGTTTACCAAGTCTGCATTTTTTGTTCCAAAACCATATTATTTGATCAAAAACAGTAAAAGACTGTAATATATTTTCTATTTATCAATTAAGTGCTATATAAAGTTGTATATAAATACTTTTTTTAAAGTAAATGTTTTCGATGTAAATGTATTTACAGTATAATTTATTGCAGTGATTTTAAAGATGGATTTCAGCATCATTAATCGAGTCATGATCCTTCAAAAATGATGAAAGTACTTACATTTACAAATTTAATGCTCCAAAAAAATTTATAAATAAAGAAGTAGAAAAAGAACAGAGTTGATAATAATAATAGTAATAATGGCATTAATTAAGAGTTGAGGTTTTTTTAGGAAGTTTGAAAGAATAAAAAGAAATATAACATTATACTTTTAACACCTGAAAAAAAAAAAAAAAAACTTTATTCACTGTACCATTCAAAAGCATGGAGTCAGTATCATCTTTTTAATATTAAATTTTTATTATTTTGAAAAGCAAATCATTAAAATATTAGAATGGTTTCTGAAGTATCATACACCTGGAGTAATGATGCTTAAAATTCAGCTTTGAAATAAATGACATTTTAAAATATGTTTAAATAAAAATTTCAAAATTTTAAATGGTAAAACATGTACATATTTTTATTCTTTTCGCTGTGCTTTTGATTAAATAAATGCAGGATTGGTGAGCAGAAAAGACTATTTGTCTTTAAAAAAACATTACAAATTTTACTATTCGAAATGCTTTGATCAGTAGTGTAGCTGTAAATCTAACATTTTATACTTTTTTTAATAAAGAATAATGTGTTTGATTGAAATTGAGATTTCTTTAATTTCTAAATTGTCAAATTGTCTTTTATTGTCACATTATATATAATGTGTATATAAAAAGGTTGATTATAAAGTTAACAGAGATGTTTTTTTTTATCATCTAAATATGTGTCTCAACACTTCTTAAACTTCTTTTCACAGTATCCAACATGTTTACGGAGCCCAACACCCCCCATTTGATCCTCTGCTACATGCCAAGTAAGAGTTATATTGAAAAGAAAATATGTGTTTGTCAATCTAAAAATGTTTTCAGTGTAATTTTGCTAAGTAATGTTTTTATAATTGTTGAAAGAGCATCCAAACATTCTGAAAAAAAAAAATTCCATTCAAACACATACATTCTTTTTGCTTTTGTTATTTTAAGTAGGTGTTGGTCAAACATAATACTTTTTAATTAAAGTTAATATTTCCACCCTTTGCAATAAAGTGCACAGATTAATCATTCACATTAAATCCATAAACAACATATCAGAATATGAGGGTCACTTTTGATGTTGACTTAGCATTGTATATATGAAAAAAAAAAAAAAATGGAAGTGCTGCAACCATTCTTTTCAGTTCACACTTGTTGTCGTGTTGTTTGTCACAAACGCAGATGTTACTACAATGAATCAGCAAACCCTACCTTTTAAGGTGCCACGTGAAACTACAAACTACGTGCCTGAGCTCGACCAGAAGGAGCTGCCTTTGTTGTTTTTACAATAAGATAAATAGCATGGTACTGCTAGAGGAAATATGAATCTTAAATGCAGATGTAATTAAAATGTATTTAAAGAATCAATTATTCTATTTAAATAAGTAATTTCTTAAAGGAACAATATTATATATATATATATATATATATATAGGCTTATTTTATTGTTACCAAGAATTAAACAGATGAGTTGTAGCATTTTTTAATCCACTCAGCTGATCTCTGGGTCTGGCGGGAGCAGTTGTATCTTAGTTTAGCATAGATCATTGAATTGGATTAGATTAATAGCATCTCATTCAAGAATGACTAGTTTTAAGAATTTTCCTATGTGAAGCTTGGCTCTTCTGTAGTTACTTTGTGTACTAATCTTGTACTTTCCATTGTGGACTGATGGAAAAATTACAAGCTAGCATTGAGGTAGATTAGTATTTAAAAAGTTGATGCTAATGGTCTAATCTATTTCAATGATTTATGCTAAGCTAAAAGTGCTCCCACCATGAACAGGATGGTAAAAGTAAATTTTTTACTCTGTGACTTGAAAAATGGGTTCGTTTTTAAAAGAAAAAAATGGATTGTTCCTTGAATAATATTCTCATATTCTAGTCCACATCTCAATTTGAGTGGCTTACAGCACAACTTATGATTTATTAATTCAAACTCTGCCAAATCTTCTGAACTCATTATACAGCTTATACATTCCTTGCAATACAGCTAATTCTTTTTTTATGCCTGGATTCTGAAATTCCATCTGTTTTCCACCTCTCAGAAGGCTTAGGGCTGTCAGAGAAACTAGAATGATAAATGAATGAATACTCCAGTAAAAGTATATAGTCCTCTTTGAACCCCATTCAGATCATTTTGTAAAATCAGATATTTATTTACGGGAGACTAGCTTTAAATGGATCACTTGAATAAACGTGAATTGTTTACTGAAGACTTACTCTGAATTAATCAATTAAACCTGTGGGTTGCTTACTAGACTCACTCTTGATGCTTCATTTGAATCAGTGAATCGTTTATTGGGTTCTCAATTTGAAAGGATCACTTGAATCAGTGAGATGTTTACTGTCAACTTGCTCAGAAAAAAATTAATGAATCAGTGAGTTGTTTACTAGAGACTTGTTCTAAATGGATCATTTGAATCAGTAAATTATTTATTGGAGACTTATTTTGAATTAATCACTTGCATCATTGACTTGCTTATTTGACAACTTACTCTGAATGTATTGGTTAAATCAGTGAGTTGATTTCTGGAGACTTATTCTGAATGGATCAATTGAATCAGTTAATCATTTATTTGAGACTCACTTTTAATGGATCACTTAAATAAGTCAGATGTTTACTGAAAAATCTGTCCGAATAGACTAATCGGTGCAGTGAGTTGTTTACTGGAGACTCATTCTGAAGTGATCATTTGAATCCGTAAATCATTTATTTGATACTCACTTTGAATGGATCACTTAAATAAGTGAGTTGTTTACTAACAACTTAGTCCAAATGGACTAATTGATGCAGTGAGTTGTTTAATGGATACTCGTTCTGAATGCATCATTTGAATCAATGAATTATATAATTGGAGACTCACTTTGAATTGATTACTTGAATAGGTTGTTGTTTACTGACAATTCACTCTGAATCAATTGATTAAGTGAGTTGTTTACTGGAGCCTCACTCTGAATGGTTCATTTGAATCAGGGAATCATTTATTGAAGACTCCCTTTGAATAGTGCACTTGAATCAGTACCTTGTTTACTGACAACTTACTCTGAATGGACCAATTGATTCAGTGAGTTGTTTACTAGAGGCTCATTCTGAATGGTTAATTGGAATCAGGGAATTATTTATTGGAGACTCCCTTTGAATTGTGCACTTGTTTACTGACTACTCATTCTGAATGGACCAATTGATTCAGTGAGTTGTTTGCTGGAGGCTCACTCTAAATGGATCATTTAAATCAGTGAATCATTTATTGTGTGATTATTCAGTGATTTAACAGGTTAAAAAATAAAATTTGTCTTATTCACAATTTATACGCCAATTTCTTTTTCTTTCTTATTTTTCACTTTTTTTACTCGGCTTCATTCAGGAAATAGTGCAAAAAGTACCAAGTAAAAAGTAAAGTGTTTTGGAATGCTTTGAGGTAAAAGTTTCCCCAAATATAATATGTGTGGATACTTAAAATATGTACTTAAGTACATCAGAGAAGTAAAAAAACTTAGTTACTGTCCACTCTTGATGATTTCTGTAGGATATTAGTAAACGTTTTAAACAGAACACCAACACTCTGCATTGATATATTAATAAAATCCACATTTTCTGCTGCAGTTTGATGAAAGCAGGAAACAAGCCCCCATCTGCATCTACGCCAGGAAAACCAAAGAAAGCTACCACCTTCCAAGAGTTCGAGAGCATCACCAGTGACGCCTGGGACGTGGGTGACGATGACGACGAACTTCTTGCCATGGCAGCCCAAAATCTCAACATCGAAGTCGTCATGGAGACGGCCAATAAGGTGATCGAGAACCACAGCAAGCTTCAAGAAAGACGGCAGCAGCAGATGGAGAAGACGACTGAGCCTGATGAAAAGTATGGAGAAGAAGTGGAAGAGGAGGAGGAGGAGCCGGAGGAAGAGGAGGAGCGAGAGGAAGTGGTGGAGACAACAGATGTGTCTTTTAGTTCAGATGCTCTTCCATTTGGCGATAGCAGACTGGTGAAGTCACACAGTGAAGCTCCTATTGGCTCACCTAAAGGTCAGTCAAACATCAACATACAACTGGTTTTCTCTGTTTACTGTTTTCGACTGGTTTATTGCTTGGGTGGGGGTTTTATGTTTGGTGTTTACAAAACTGACATTAATACTAAGGTGTTTTGTTTTAAAAAAAACTACAAAAACACACAAAAAAAGATTTTTGTTGCTTTTCAAACTACCTTTTTAAAATGAGCTGAAACAACAAAATTCAGGATTTTTTTAGAAGCGCAATTGTTTTATGTTTAATCTGCTTAAATTAGTTATTCATTACATTTCTTTTCAGCTTAGTCCCTTTATTGATTCGGGGTCCCCACAGCGAAATGAACTGCCAACTTATCTAGCACACTATTACGCAGCGGATGCCCTTCCAGCCGCAACCTATTTCTGGGAAAAATACACACACACACTTATTAACACTCATACACTAAGGACAATTTAGCCTACCCAATTCACCTGTACCGCATGTCTTTGGACTGTGGGGGAAACCGGAGCACCCGGAGGAAAGCCACGCGAACACAGGGAGAACATGCAAACTCCACACAGAAATGCCAACTGACCCAGCTGAGGCTCGAACCAGCGACCTTCTTGCTCTGAGGTGACAGCACTAACTACTGCGCCACTGCGTCGCCCCGTGAATTAGTCATGTTAACTTAAAATATTTATGTTGAGACAACATGAATGAATCATGCAGAACTCAACATTTTTTAGTGTGTGGAAAAATGTAAAAGGCAGTTTTAGACAGTAGTTGAATAAAACAAATCTGATTTTAATGTAAAAATATAACACAGCAGTTTTATGTTTTTTTAGTACTCCTTACTAAAACTACAGTGTCAAAATACTGATATAATTCAAAGTAACTACAATTAATAAAGCCAAATAAGTACTAGGAGCTCTTCACATCTGATTAATAATAAAAACAAACAAACCTCAATATTTAATTGATTATAATTCAAGATTACTCTTTTCTTTTCATTTAAGCTGTTTTTAAACGTTTGTACTTATCTCTGAATGTAATGAGCTTGTTCTCAACTTATTATTTAAAATTTATTAGAAAAGGGCACCTATATTATCTTTTGAAAGCTGTTCAGACAGAACTGTCCGTAGGTATAGTGTGTCCACAGTCATATTGTAATAATAGAAACTAGGGTTGGGTGACGTCGAGCAATTTGAGGCGTGAATTCATGAATAATTAATTCATAACAAATTAATTATTTGTAGCCTACTGTTTTACCTACCTGACCCACATTGTCTTTGTTTTACCCATGAACAAATCTAGAAATAAATATAGATAGGTTACACACAAATTACCATCTGTCAATTAATTTTTCTGTGGGACTCTGGCATGAATAGGCAGAGTGATCTGTGTCATTATAATCATGTCGACAAACTTGGTTGGTAAAAAAGATGCACAACCAACGGGAAATAACCAACAATATCTGAGATTTTCACAAAAAATAATTTGTATAAGTGTGAAAGGGAAAGATTGAAGCAGTGTACTTACGTGTGACACATTACCTGAACACAAGACAGTAGAGTCAATAGATATGTGATGTGCGTTTTCAGCAAGTGGTACTTGTACAGTGTGGATGGAGGGCTGTTCAGAAATGCTAGATCAGTGGTTCTCAAACTTTTTTCATCAAGTACAACCTCAGAAAAAAATTGTCTCTCCAAGTACCACCAAAATGAGCAGTATTGAAATACAATAGCGTAGTAGGCCTGTAATACAGCTACGCCTCTGCACAGTTAAAAAAACGTGGCAGATAACCTCAGAAATATAGGCTATATGTCATATATGGATTATTATATACATCATTTTTGATACATTTTTACATGTGTGTAGCATGTACATGACAATATTTCATTCCTCCACGTACCACTAGAAGGAAGCCTGCGTACCACTAGTGGTACACGTACCACAGTTTGAGAACCACTGTGCTAGATGAAACGCCAGTGTGGATGTGGATCATTTTCATTCTAAAAGACCATTTTGTATAAGTGTAAATGAGGCCTGAGTGTGTATTTTTCACGAGTGGGTTTGCGAAAGGGGGCGGGGTGGAGGATCGCGATGTTGGCTCAGCATCGTGACGTCTATTGACCATCGGCGATGGATGATGACATTGTCTTTCGACCCAGCCCTAATAAAAACATTACAGTCTTGTTTTAAATTTCCTTACGTTAAAATAGGATCCAAATCCTTACCTTTTTGTGGCCCACCGCAACAAGATGTAGGAGTGTGGTTTTTACTGCACACCGTTTTGATTGACAGCCGCGTATTGACATGCCTTCATGTTAAAACCCATAATCATATCAACAAGACAGGAAAAAACGCAAAGCAACTACGACTAAAATATCTGTTCAGCTCTCTGTGATCAGCTGCATCTCGAGAATGAGTTTTACAAGTTTAAAATACTTTTAAATCAGTGCATGTTTGTAATAAAGTAAAGACAGTAATAGCACTACATAATTCATCACAATAGCCGCAGTAGTGTTAGTGTCAATAGTGTCAGTACAATTGTAAAAAGAAGATGCTTCAATTCTGTTGTTTTTATTTATTTATTTATTTATTTTTATTTTAACTTAAAATCAGTTGTAGTTTATACATTAACATAACAGATACCCATGTATAGTAACATGTATCCTTTCACATTTGCTGTGCAAAAACGGTGCAAAGTCAAACAGGCACGCTATGTGTGTATTTACGTGAACATTATAACGACAATGTGTGTGACTCGTCATTGCAGAAAGGCTTGAATAGGCTCCACAACAAATACATCAAATAATCATTGGGAAAGTTAGGCGGAACCTGCTTCCTTCATGTCTGTTACTATGCTGTTTATCTGATGCAGCAGGAGATGGAGACACGCATCAAAGTTATAGAGAGTGATCTTTGTGGCTCTGACAGGCACGTGGGAATGGTGGGCGGGGAGAACTAGCTTATTTGCATTAAAGATACAGGCAAGAAAACGGCAACAATGTGCTCAGAGCTGAAAATGTCAAAATTAAGAAAGGTCTAATAAATAATCCAATGATTATATTGAGCTGAAACCTTATAGACACATTCTGGAGACACAAAAGACTTATCTTAAATCTTGAAAAAAGGGTCAAATAAAGTTTGATATTCTATTATAATCACTTTAATCTATTTTTTTTTTGTAGATTATTGCTTGTTCCTAATTATTTTCTAGTTTTCCACCTACAAGATATGCAACAAAACATTTAGTTTTGATAATAGTTTTTCCAGTGTCATGTTATGATTCATTGTCACCAAGTGTCAAGACATTTATAGCAAAAACAAATTTTCATCATAAAAGAGTTTGCATATTAAAATCCTACATGTGATCAGTTTTCATAATCAAGTGGTTCTACTGAACTAATTTGCATGACCTTCATTAAATAGTTTAATCTAACTTGCGATAATTAACCTGAGGCTGTAACTTGAGGCCCAGGCAAACTAGCATGAGTGGAATGCCAACGTTTATTATGATAATATATAGGATGTGTTTTTGGACTTACTTATGACTCATGCTTTCAGTATGATTCCTCTGAAAGAGAGCAAATCAAATGAACACCTAATCCTAATTTCAATACCATTACAGGCTCAGATCTTCATTGTTATGCAGTGACCTGAAGGGCTGCTGTTAAGGGAAGCATAGATGAACAACTTAAAAGTTATTTAACTTTTATTCATTGGTCAATGAGGATTAAATAAGAGGTGAATATGGTAACGTCTTTTTGAGGATTACATATTTTTAAGGTTCATTAAAATAATAGTTCAACCAAAAAGAGTGAAAATTCTGTCATTTACTCACCTTTTATTTGCACAACCTAATTGAGTTTCTTTCTTCTGTTAAACAAAAAAAGATAATTACTATGCATTGACATTTTTTCCCCAATGGGTTCTAGCATATTTCAAAATATCTATGTTCAACTCATTACAGTTTATTCAACCTTTACAATGATTATTTTGCTAGCACACATTGTTATTTTTTAGGTGAACAAATAACCCATGCAAGTTGTTCTACAATAAAAAAAAAGTTGGTTTTGATAATATTCAATCAAATTATGTCCATTTGCTTTCGCATTTGAAGAAACGGTCCTGTTGTTTGACATCAGTTTGATGGATTCAGCCACAATATTCTTAACCACACCCCTCTAACCATTAGTTTGCTATGAGGGAATGATGTGCAAAAAGAAAGCCCAGCCCCCTACTCAATATTCACTTTCAGTTGAACGTAAATCAATATACTGAAATGAAACTCTCGACTTAAGTTTAAAACCACATGAGAGAATAATGCGGTCATTTAATTTTTTTAGTGAACTAACCCTAATATGAATGCACTGTAGCATTTACCTATGGACTACAGTGTATATCAGACAAGGAGCATCTGTTTTCACCAATATCCCCGCACTGACTGACAGCTCTTCCGCTGTTTTGTTTACCAGCCTGATTGGTGGTGGAGGACTATTAACGGACTTCCCGTTGACGTGTTCTGCCTCCGCTCTAATGGCACTTTGTGTTGACACTGTCAGCAGCCGTCACGCACTGTCTAATTTCTGCAGGGATTACACAAACATCGTTAAATGTGGATGTTATGATGCTTAATGCGAGAATAATCTCTCAAAGTCACCCAGAGACGTGTTCAATGCCTCTAACAGGCATGCAATCACATTTTACAGTGACACTCAGGGTTTGAGCAGCATGATTATTAAGCGTTGGCGCAAAAAATCGGTTCACCGAGGTGTTTCGATTTCTTTGTAACATGCACGCAACACTGCAAAACAGCAGCATTTATACAGTAGAATGTTTTCAATTAGCCATAATTCTGACCCACTAATTGGCATTAAATGATTGTTTGTGTGTACATACTGTAGAACCATTACAATTATACATGCCCTTGATTTTCCCCCCTATTTTATGTTGCTGCATTATGGTAAGAGCTTTAAATAATATATATTTTTTCTAGGTTATACTTCATCCCTTCAAAAAAATCAATAACTAGA